TTTTAAAGAGAAGAGCCCCAGGGATGCGAGCTTTGAGAACCCACATGTCAGATTTAACTCCAGATGTGTATTACCTAAAGAAATAACGTTTCTGTCCTTAAGTTTGGATTCAAACCAATTAACGAACTGTGCCGAAAGTCCCCACCCAGTTTTCTACTCTGTCTAGTAATATTGTTGTGTCACAGTGTCAAACGCAGCACTGAGATCTAATAATACTAACACTGAAAGTTCTGCCACTGTCTGTGTTTAAGTGGATGATCATTGAAGACCTTAACAAGAGCAGTCCTCAGTGCTGTGTGTTGGACGAAAGCCTGACTGGAACACATCAAACAGGTATTAAATTCAAGAAAATTACTCAACCTGTTTGAAAAACAACTTTTCAATGATTACCTAGAAATGGCAGGTTTGATATGGGGCCTGTAAATTGTTCCATTACTGAAGCGTCTAGATCAGTGGATGGGCAACTTTGATGGTGGTGGGGGCCACATCATTGATGTACTGGCCCCAGGGGGGCGCAGATTCACTTTGAAACACACACCACACACAAAAAATTCCATGTGTTGTATGTAATTATTAACAAATATACTAAGTCTGACATCTTCATTGACATTTTACAATCAAAGGGAACATCCCCAAAAAATGGGAACAACCTCTAATAAGCTCACTAAACAAATATCAGTTCACAGAAGTGTTATTTCATTTGTACAAGTGGCATGTTTGTATTGAACAGGTTATTAAACAGTGGAATAAAACTATTTTAAACTATTGGAAAGCACGGAAAATGTGTGTGTATTGAGATTAACCATTAAGATGACATACACATGAAGTCATGAACACTAACCCAGACATTAGTTGTCTAACTTGAACCTAAAACACTTGTAGCCAGTCTCTGCATTCCCCTTATTCCATAATAAGGGAAATGTCAACACAGACACATGTCAGCCTGTTCCTCAGCACCACTCCCCCTCCCTCCCGCTGAAATTATGAATGAAAAGCGTAGTAATCATAGATAACAAGGCAGGGTCCGTGACAGTTTGTTTTCATCTGATTTCAAATAAACAAAGTCTTGGTTTTAAGAATATTAAACTTGTTTCTCCAAATTCAGATGATAAATACAACTTTTAAGCTTGTAAAGGCATAATTACAAGAGGCAATTTAACGTCACAGCAGGCATAACAACAGCCGGTGTTTCTTGTGAGGGTTTCCCCGGGAAACAAACACAATACACACAAATGTGTCACAGATTATTTTTCGGTATTTGAAATCATGTACGCAGCTCGCGACGTAACTAGGAGTCTAGTGGACGGTATCAGTAATACAAATAAAACATTTTTATTTTAATTTTATTTTTTATTATTAATTACGTTGTTTATAAATTAATCTGAAGGCCGCAAAAAGAGGAGTTGGGGGCCGCCATTTGCCCATCCCTGGTCTAGATTATGCTTTTTTAAGAGCGGTTTAATGACTGCAGTTTTCAGGGTCTGTGGAAAAACACCTGAGTGAAGAGATTTGTTTACTATATGAAGTAGATCTGAGGCCATGCAAGGAAAAACATCTTTGAAAAATCCTGTTGGAATAATATCAAGGCAGCAGGAGGAGGATTTCAGATGTTGTATAATGTCCTCTAGGTTTTTATCAATAATCTGATGGAATTGTGTCATGGTGTTTGAATTGATTTTAAGTGGACACAGGGACAACACATTTGCTGTACCTGACACAGGGGCACTGACTGCTTTTCCGATTTTCAGAATGTTGTCAGTGAAGTGAATCTAAGGTCGCATTCACAACTAATAGTCTGCTTCTCTGGTGCGCACCAGACGACAATTTGTTACATTGTTTAATTTTTCAGAAGGTTCGGTTTGCTTTCACACGGGCAAAACTCAAACGGACTATAGAGGATTGACTTTTGCTCTTTTAATACTGGTTTAATATCACCATACTCGAGAATAAGCGTCATTAGCTGCCGCTTTTCCAAAATCTATATAATCACATTCAAGTAAATTCACATTTTCTCTTGCCAAATTTGGGCATTAAAATTGGTTCCAAATATGAATGGAAAGCAATTAAACATAACTTTTTACATTTTCTGTAAGAACAGAAATGTCAAATTTCCACATTGTTTAGATATTTCAAGGTTCTACAGTTGCACATTTAATAAAGTTATCTACAATGGTTCAATATCACACTCGAGACTTAGCGCCACCAGCCGTCTATCTCGATTTTCCAGTAAGTAAGTACATAAATTCACATTTTCTATTGCCAAATCACGATTTGCTTAAAATATCCACCAAATCAGAAAATTAAGTGTTTTGGCAGGAAACAATTAAATTAAACTTAAATGTTTGTATAAACTTGACATTTCCATTAAAGTAATGAAAAACAGGAAAAAGTTGACTGTCTGCATGGAAAACTTTCTGGACTAGTCTACTATCCTGATACACAAGTGGTAGGGCAGTGAGTTGTATAAGTGAGAGGGGGCGGGGAGGAGAAGCAAGCTAATCAAACTCCTGTTGTCCACACAAAGGTCACAACAGAAAGCCCCATCTGCTCCCTGACCTTGACCCGGCGTCAAATCACCCTCAGCTTTGTGTATGTGAGTGGGCTGATGTATACATGTGTGACACTGGTGCTGCTACACTACCCCCAGGGTTTAATGGCAGGGGGGGGTTGCTGCTGCTGCTGGGGAGATGGAGAGGTGACGACCTTTGACCTTTCTCCAATTCTGTGGACTCAGTGTCAGAGCCACAGCTGCAACATCTAGCAGGTGTGACGACTCATTTTCAGCTCAGAGCTGCAAATCTGAACAAGCAGAGGCGTTGAGTGTCGAGTGAGTCAGAGGAATTTATTCATGCTCCAAAACACCGGAGGATGATAGTAAGATTTGTACAAATACAATAAACTGGGACATTTCTTTTTGGTTGACTGCACAGCTGACTCCTGTTGTGGGATGGTTCATATTAGCTTCATTTCCATGGAGTTCACTAATCAGGCAATTAGAGATTACAATAGAAAACATTCAAAAGTAACTTTTCTATCTTAAAACGGTATTCTACGCAGTAGTGGAAGATGTACAGGAGAAATATAAAATGGTACAAATAGCCAAGTTACAAGTTACAAGTCCTGCATTCAAATGTTTACTTAGGTAGAAATGAGTGCTGTCAGTCGATTAAAATATGTAATCGCGATTAATCGCATGATGTCCATAGTTAATCGGGATTAATTGCAAATTAATCACACATTTTTTATCTGTTCTAAATGTACCTTAGAGGAGTATTTTTCAAGTTTGTAATACTCTTATCAACACATGAGTGGACAAATATGCTTTATGCAAATGTTTGTTTATTATCATTGGAACAATGACAAATATTCTCCTGAATATTCTCAATACAACGACCTGGAACCTCTCTCTCTCTCTTACACTCTCTCCCAACCCTGTGTACTTCTCTGCACTGAGCCAGTTGCTCAAACAGACAAGCCTGTTTACAGTTGTCGGCAAAATGCCACTCCTCTGTCTTCATAACAGTCAAAGCATGAGACTGAAGTTCCCACCTACAGTAGGGTCAAAATAATGCGCTTTGATGTGCAGTCGACACGTTGGATGCGATCCGAATTATCTCACACGGTCCCTCATCCTCCACAATATTAATTGTCCTGCAAGCTGTAGCCACCGCCACCCATTTAGCTATCACTGTTGAAAGATTGCTGCTCGTAGACGCTGTGTCCAGGCGTCTGCCCGGCAAACTTTCAAGCGTGGTCTGCCGGAAGCGAGCGGCAGGAGCGGGGCTGTCAGCATCAGCTGTGTGCTTGGCTTGCTGTTTAAAACACCTTTTTTTTTATCCATATCTCTCGCTAGAATCTACCACCATCCAACTAACAACAACAACAACGTCAAGCCTTCGGGCTCTGAAACTACGGGCGGGCAGAGGACGAATACACATGCGTTAATCACACGTTAAAATAATTAGTGGCGTTAAAAAAAATTGCATTAACTTGACAGCCCTAGTGGAAATACTAAATTATTAGCATCAAAATAAACTTAAAGTCACACAACTAAAAGTACTCTATTATGCAGAATGGCTGGTTTTGGAATAAAACGTTTTTATAACACTGGATTATAATGTGTATACAGTTTGTATGATTGATCCTTTATATTCATTATTTAATTTAGAAGTTGGTAAACGTGGAGCTAACTTTGATGACTCTATATATGTTTTGTTAAAATAAAAAATACATATTTTTATGACAGGTAGCTTAAAGGTGGGGTAGGTAATTTTGGAGAAACCAGCTCGAGTGGCTAGAATTTGAAAATACACAGCCGGTGTCAGTACCATATGTGTTAGGGGTCCGTCGCTTACCAATGACGTCACGCATTGTGATTGGCTGTACGGTAATCGCACGCTGATTGGTGTGACTAGGGGCGCTGACTAGGGTATACCGGGCGGTATACCGGGGATAA